CTGTCCCTTCTCCTACTGATTCTATTCCTTTCCCTCGTTTACAACCTTCACCTCCTGCAAACATTTTTTTAAATACTGTACCATTTTAAATTTAACTCCAAATGTAAGACCTAATAACTAGAGCTCCAGCCCACAAAACGTCGCCGTTTTTCTAGTTGCTAGTTAAATAAAAAATGCATTTACGCACGATCAAACATCACATCATAGTAAGTATATCGTTTCAAATAAGGTAAAACTGAGGATTATGCACCGTACGTACGTACAATGACTCTGTTAATTTAAATATAACTCCATCTTTTCGAATTTAGCCAATCAAATGAAATATTTATATCTGAAGATATCGACTTGACAATTCGAATTTAAATCCATCATTAAAATAAATTCGGTACCAAATTCCAGTCAATAAATTTGGGTCGACCATAAACACTACAAGTGAAAAGCATAAAGTCTAAATATGGATTACTATAAAATAAGTATTATTCTATATTTAGGCTTCCCGGAGAAACTATAGCAATAGATAATTGTTAACAAGAGCTAACCGTGTTAGTATGTACGTAAGTACTTGACTACGTACGTAGTGCCAGTTCAAAACAGGTCTAATGTGGCAATATAACAAATTCCATGCGCGTATACAAATCTGTATGATCAAAGCATATGTATTAAACGTCAATTAATTATACCGATACGATACATAGTTACTCAAAGAAATTCGGATTATCATTTATATATCGATATATAACAATAATTTTTAATCGTAAATTATTTTAAAGAATAGGCTTTAAAACCAGAAACACTACAGTAGGTAAAATAAGACAACCTTCAAAAGAAAACACCAACTTCTATGCATGTTGACACGAGAGTAAAAATTTCATTGATAATAGATAATTTAAGATTCTCGTTACTTATGCTCTTATTGATAATTTGAGTTTTCGGATTCGAAACTATACCAAAAAATAAATAAATAAATTTATCAATTATATGTATATATATATATATATACTTTATTAATTATCACAATATTTATTAATTATATATAATATATTTACAATTATTAAAATAATATTCTTACTATATATAACCCTTTTTTAGTACATTTTCAGATTCCGTCTTTTTTTTTCCTCAAAAAATTTATTTATAAAATCTTTTTTTAAACTGTATCGGTATAATCTATACAAAAATTTGTCCACTTTCGAAATTAGTCATACGTAATCGTTGTAATAATTTTGAATCGCTAGCTACGAAAAAGGTTTTAAAAAGAATAACGCGGTACATCGAAAAAAAAAGTACATATTTATTCTTAACAATTGAATAGTTGTAGGTTTTTTTTTTTTTTGTTATTCGAGAAATTTACAAAAATATCATAATTTTTTTCGTATACACAACTACTAATTGATAAATAAATGAGTAGAAATTTTTTCACCCTTTGTAATTTCGTAAGTAGTGCGGAAGGATCGATCATACGTAATAATTTTTTTCGATTTGTTTTTTTTCTTTATTTTTGTGTTGCGTAAAAGGCTTAAATTCCACAAGCTTCGTAATTTTCATAGTAAGGATATTGATATTGAAATTTTGCTAATAGTAATAAAATAATAAAAATCAAATAACGATTATAAGAAAATGTTAATTGGATAAAACACGAAATAGATAAATTGATGAAAATAATACATACATATTCCTACGATTGTCCAACATAAATAATCATCAACTTCTTCGACGATTGTAGAAGTTGCATCAGATTTTGTACAAGGAATATTTTGCATCGTTGAAACCAATCGAAAAGGTTCTTTTGCAAATTCAACATTTTGCATATGAACTACCCGAGAAGATTGATAACCTAGAAAAGGTGAAGCACCACTAACAGTACATTGATCTTGTAATTGAGGACTATCCATCGTTATTGGACCAGCGGCACTAAGATAATGAGATTCTCGACCGTTCATACGGACACATTGTAATGCAATTTTTTGCATTTGACTAACAGGACCACAAGCGCCTTGAGCAATACGGCCTTTCTCTACCTTACGAATAATTAAATGATCGGAAATAAAACCAGTCGTTGGATCGGAAAGAACAACTTCTGAACCATAAGTAATCTGAGTCTTTGAGCATACGGAATTAGAAGGAGAACCGGGAGAAGAAATCGGAGAAGAACTTTTCGAGGAATTTATAGGCGAAAAAGAACCAGGCTCATTGTTGTTGTTGTTGTTGTTGTTATTATTTACTACGGTTATCACAAAAGAAGACCAAGTAGAATTCTTTGCACATAATTCACCACTTTCTATGCCCATATATTTAGTCCGTACGGTTTGAGAATTAATACGATTGAAAAGAGAAATATGATCACCGGAAGAAATGCAAGAAGAAATATTTCTAGCTTTTGCAGTTTTTTTAGAAGGTTTTGATATGATAGTGACAGGGTCGGAATCAAACATAGCGTATGGAATAGTAGAATTCTTATGAAAAATTTTTAATTTAAGAGTGAAATGTTTTGCTTTAGCAGTGCCACTAACATGTAAATATTTAAAGGTACCCTTCATATTTTCATCAAGCATAGTCCTTTGTTCCATTGAACGTTCACCAGTTTCACATACAACAGACATTGAAACTTCAGGTTTTATATGAAAATTTCTACAAGAGTTTGAAGGTTTTTCAAGAATGACCACAGGAGGAGGACATAAAAACCTTTTTTCACTACCATAAGATTTTTGGGCAACAGAAGCATGATAACAAGTGATAGTGGTAAAATGAAAAGGGGTGGAAGAATCATTTTGACAAAGAAGTAAATTTTGAGAAGAATCGGAGGGAACATCAACGGAAGGGTAAGAAGGATTATGTATTATAGTATCATTAATGGATAAAGATCTGCGTATTTTTGATCGAGACTCTTTTAAATAAGTACCAGTTACAAGAGAATCACATTTTCTTTTGTTTGATACTAAATGATTTTTATTTTGAATTAAAGGAGGAGGAGAATTACGCGTACGATCAACGTCACCTACGGCCTGATTCACACTTGGAAGGGGGAAAGTATTTAAAAAAATGTTTGCAGGAGGTGAAGGTTGTAAACGAGGGAAAGGAATAGAATCAGTAGGAGAAGGGACAG